GTATACCGCTTTTCTCAGCCAATCAAGTTTCTGGATGTTGATTCTGGTTCATTTCTTTGTGGTTTTTGGTCTGCTTTGCTCTCTGTTTCGTTCTCGAGTTCTGGATCTAACTTTGCTCAGGCGTGCGGAGTTAGCCTTGTTTCACTGGATTGACTCAAAGTGAAGTTCCAAGCTTTTGAGTTCCTGTGGTTGGATTCCTGAAACGGGTTCCCACCTATACGCAACAACTTTGGGGTCTCTCTTGGATTTTGGATTGTTCTTTTGGATTGTGCTGCTTCTTCCCTTTTGTACTCCTTTTAATCCACTTTGCTTAGAGGATTCCCTCATCCCTGCGTGGCGTTTGGGTGGAAAGGCGTCCCACCCACCCACGGCTGGGGCACAACAGGCTCTTGGGAGCTCGGCTGTGAGCCGGGGCGGAGAGAGAGGGGCCCAGGGCTGCCCTGCCCGCCCTCCATTCACACTCTCTCACACGGACCCTCTGCATGGGCAGCAGTGGCGGAGGTGGCTGCTTGGTCCCAAAAAAGCACCTCAGTGGGGAGGGGGGCTTACTTCCCCTTGCCCACAATTCAAACCCAGGAAAGAGGTGCCGCTCCGCAGGGCAAAGCATAAGCCTAAGTTGGACCCCAATCAGGAGGGCCTGGTGGGAGGGCTGGGAAAGGTGCCCCACCTGAAGCTGTTGCCACCTTTGCCCCTCCTGTTGCAAACAGAGTTGACTGAGCAGGCCTAGAATGCATTACTGATTTTGTGTGTTGTGATGTGTTTTATACTATGTACTGTATGGCATTTTTGTGTCCTATTGTGTAAGCTGCCCGGAGCCCCTATGGTGGTGGGGTATAAATAAAGTTGTTATTATTTGAAACACAACAAGTACACAGCAAACAGGGTCACTCTTCTGTCTGTTGTGTTGGATCGCATGTTGGACCCTTCCCAAGCATCTGTCTAGGGATGTGTGATGTATTGACGAATAATGCAAGCAGATCCCAGTAAGGTGGCCTTTTGCAGCTGGCAGGTGGCAATTTTGTCAGCGCCGATTGTGTTTAAGTGCAGGCCAAGGTCTTGAGGCACTGCAATAATAATAATAATAATAATAATAATAATAATAATACTTTATTTGGACCCCGCTACCATCTCCTCAAGGGACTCGGTGCGGCTTACATGAGGCCGAGCCCAAAATACAACAATACAAGCAATTTAAAAACAACAAAACAATGAAACAATAACACAAGCATTATCAAATAGGACAACACACTTTAAAAACTATGGGTAGGCCAAATGTAGTTAAAAATTAAAATAATGCTGGACATGGGCGAAGGAAGTGGTGGGGCGGTTGATGGAAACATACAAGCAGACCTAAAAACAATATGAAGTGCTTTGGAGGACAAAGTGCTATGGGATCCTTATTCTGGGAAGGCACACTGGAGCAACCACGTCTTCAAGCTCCTCCTAAAGACTGCCAAGGTTCGGGCATGCCTGATGTCCTTAGGGAGTGAGTTCCAGAGTCGAGGGGCCACCGCCGAAAAGGCCCTCTCTCTCTCTCGTCCCCACCAATCACCCAGTGTGCCCATCACCACCACTGAGACCACCTTGACTGGTTTGTGTCCGAGTCTTTGCAGTTCGATCTTTAAATCCAGCTGTTTCTTTTCAATCCTATTCTCACCTGGGATTGCGACATCGACAATCCATACTTTGTTTTTTAACACGATCGTGAGGTCAGGAGTGTTGTGCTCCAAAACTCTGTCAGTCTGAGTTCAGAAGTCCCAGAGGAGTTTGGCACGTTCAATCTCTGTAACTTTTTTCCAGCTTGTGGTCCTACCAGTTGTTGTTCTTCTTATTTGAGTCCAGAGGCAGCAAGGGGTTCCAGAAGCCCCCCGAGGAGGGAGCAGGCTTCCAGAGTACCTCAGGGAGGGAGGGGCGCTTCTTCTCCTTGTTCGCGCAAGGGCTGGCGGCAGGCCTTCTTCCTCTTCCTCTTCCTCACCTTGGTCTCCTTTCCCTCCTCCTCCTCCTCCTCCTCCTCCTCCGCAGGTGGTGCAGGTGCTGAACGCAGACGCCATCATCGTGAAGCTCAACTCGGGCGACTACAAGACCGTCCACCTCTCGAGCATCCGCCCCCCGCGGCTGGAAGGCGAAGGCACCCAGGTGAGAAGGCGCCGCTTGTGTGTGGGGGGGGCAGCGGGGGGAGGGGGCAGGGCAGGGGCATTTGGCTCTTTGAAGGGTTTGACCTCAACACACACACATGCACGTGCAGCGCTTGCCAGATTTTCTGAATGTGGAGGTTTGTGCAAGGTGGGTGGGGCTGGGGTTGGGTGGGTGGGTGGAGCGCCGAGACCTGGGTGGAGCCGTCCTTGTTGCAGGTGCCCCCCTCCCCCCATGCATGGCCTTTGTTTTGGTAAAGATGAGCCCCTCCTGCTCCGCCGCCACCCTTCCTTTCCTCCCTCGTTGTGGTTTATGCATTTCGTTCTTCCTGGCTGGAGGCAGGACTTCCTCACCTTTGCACCTGGTGAAATGATCACAGTTTTGTGAGATTTGGCCCAGTTGTCTATGTTGGTTTTTTATAACGCTAATACCTGAATATTGAAGGACAAAGCATCAGAGTTGCTGCGAAAAGCTGACCTTTAAATGTAGGTGAACTATAAATCCCAGTAGCTACAACTCGCAAATGACAAAATCAATCTCCCCCAACCCCCCCCCCAATTATTCAAATTGGGGTGTATGGGGTCTTTGTGCCAAATTTGGTCCAGTGAATGAAAATAATAATAATAATAGTAATAGTAATAGTAATAATAATAATGTATTGTTGAAGGCTTTCATGGCCGGAATCACTAGGTAGCTGTAAGTTTTTTTGGGCTATATGGCCATGTTCTAGAGGCATTCTCTCCTGACGTTTCGCCTGCATCTATGACAAGCATCCTCAGGATGCTTGCCATAGATGCAGGTGAAACGTCAGGAAAGAATGCTTCTAGAACATGGCCATATAGCCCAAAAAAACTTACAGCAACCTAATAATAATAATAATAATAATAATCATCATCATCATCATCATCATCTTATACCCCGCCACCCTCTTAATACAGCAAAATAAAAAAAAATGCAAACAACAAAAAACAAAACAAAAATTACATCAATAAAATACATAGCAGAATAGAGTAAACAAAGCAAAATAATATAATATAAAATCAGACACAATGGGCGGGCCGCATGGATACGGTAAAGTGATAAAACCCTGGATGAGGTAGGCGTTGTTGCAACTCAGAGTAGGCTTCTCCTTTCTTCCAAACACCACCACACAAGAGCTGTAGTTTTACAGTTTATTGAGGAAAAAATCCAAGTCAAAATAAAGAATAAGCATTGCAAAGTTCCAAAGATTAAGGTTAAATGCAGGATACAGTTCCAAAGATCTTCAGGTAAAAACAAGAGGCACAATCCTATAGTCAAAGTTCAAGACAGAGTCCAAGGTACAAGCAATGAAACAATTGCTCCAAGAATCGCAATGCAAGAAATCCCAAGCGTGCTGCTTTCCAGCTAAGGTTATTCCATGAAGCTTTCAGGCTAGTAAGCAACGTTGAACTGACAGTTTCGCTTCCTTTGTGAGAAGCCTAAATACTGTTTTCTAATCATGAAAACATTCTGCTCTCACAATGGTCCCATGACCTTTGGCAAATGCAAGATACGCCACTTTGGCAGGAAAAACGATATAGAATGGGGGATGCCTGGCTCGAGAGCAGTACTTGTGAAAAAGATCTTGGAGTCCTCGTGGACAGGAAGTTAAACATGAGCCAGGAATGTGATGTGGCGGCAAAAAAAGCCAATGGGATTTTGGCCTGCATCAAGAGGAGCCTAGTGTCTAGATCCAGGGAAGTCATGCTCCCCATGCTCTATTCCGCTTTGGTCAGACCACTTTACCTGGAATATTGTGTCCAATTCTGGGCACCACAATTGAAGAGAGATATTGACAAGCTGGAATGTGTCCAGAGGAGGGCGACTAAAATGATCAAGGGTATGGAGAACAAGCCCTATGAGGAGCGGCTTAAGGAGCTGGGCATGTTTAGCCTGAAGAAGAGAAGGCTGAGAGGAGATATGATAGCCATGTATAAATATGTGAGAGGAAGCCACAGGGAGGAGGAGGGAGCAAGCTTGATTTCTGCTTCCCTGGAGACTAGGACGCAATGGAACAATGGCTTCAAACTACAAGAGAGGAGATTCCATCTGAACATGAGGAAGAACTTCCTGACTGTGAGAGCCGTTCAGCAGTGGAACTCTCTGCCCCGGAGTGTGGTGGAGGCTCCTTCTTTGGAAGCTTTTAAACAGAGGCTGGGTGGCCTTCTGTCAGGGGTGCTTTGAATGCAATATTCCTGCTTCTTGGCAGAATGGGGTTGGACTGGATGGCCCATGAGGTCTCTTCCAACTCTAGGATTCTAGGATTCTATGATTCCCCGACCTGGCCTCTCGTCTACTAGCTAAGCATGAACTCCGCCTAGCCTGCAGATCCAGGCCTTCACTATCAGTGTGGGAAGACCCCTGGGTGCTGACTCCTTACTACTGGCATTCTTTTCCTGTGAGAACCTCTTGCTTGAATCTCCCCTGCCTGGGAGAGCCTCCCATCCTTCTCATCACACTGAACCACAACAGGCGTAGAAAAAGTGCATTTGAGAGGAGCCCAAAAGGATGGACAGTTGGGTTAGGCTTTGGGTTTAGGACGAGAGGAAGTGCATGGTAGGGGCAAGGCTGTAGGTGGGACAAACAGAAATGGGGTGAAATGGTCACTTTCCAAAATACATCAGATATTTACATGAAGATTCAGTTGCAAAATGACAGCTATGAAGCAGCAGCGAAAATAATGTGATGGCTGGGAGTCACCACCACACGAGGGACTGTATTAAGGGGTCGCGGCATTCGGAAGGTTGAGAACCACTTCCCTCGAGGAACGTGGCCCGCGAGGCAGAGCTGCAGAGAAGCATGTTCCAGGCTTGAGGCCGCGCAGTCAGTTCCAAGCTCAGTCCTCTCAATCTCTGAGGATGAAGCCAAGGAACGGGGCGAGAGGCTCCTGCCTCGGGGGCACCACAGCGAGCGAGCGGCCTTGGCAGGTCCTTTGGGGGCGGGCGGGCGGGCGGGCGGGGGTGATTCCCTCTTGGAAGGAAGGGAGGGAGGGGCGTGGCAGCCTGATCCGCTGCCTGGGGTTGGGCTGTCTCTTGGGGCAAAGGCCTGTGACGCAACGTCTCCTCAAGCCGCCCGGCCGTTGCCCGCCCTTCCGATCCACGTTGGAGCTAAGAATACACCCAGAGATTGCCTTCAATAGATCGCAGGAGACGGCAAGGCTCCGGGACAAAGGCAGAGGACCCGGGGGGACAGATGGGCATTCCACCCCCCTCCCTCCCTCCCTCCTGCCGAAGGATGGAGACCGCAAAGAGGGAGGCGCATACAAGGAGCAAACCACCGACCCTGCGGACACTGACCACAAGGAACGCTAGCTGTTTCTGGGCCACGGCCTGCGGTTCCATGGAAAGCCACGCTGGGCTGTGCCTTGCGCTTGCTAGGACTCTCAGAAGCATCATCGGTGGTTCTCAACCTTCCTAATGCAGCTCCCCACATTGTGGTGACCCACAACACGAGGAACTAGAACATTATTTTTGTTGCTACTTCATAACTCTGGTTTTGCTCTTGTTACGAATCGTAGTGTAAATATCTGATATGCAGGACTCATAGAATCATAGAACCCTAGAATCAAAGAGTGGGAAGAGACCTCCTGGGCCATCATCCAGTCCAACCCCATTCTGCCAAGAAGCAGGAATATTGCATTCAAAGCACCCCTGACAGATGGCCATCCAGCCTCTGTTTAAAAGCCTCCAAAGAAGGAGCCTCCACCACACTCCCTCCGGGGCAGAGAGTTCCACTGCTGAACGGCTCTCACAGTCAGGAAGTTATAGAATCCTAGAATCCAAGAGTTGGAAGAGACCTCCTGGGCCATCATCCAGTGCAACCCCATTCTGCCAAGAAGCAGGAACATTGCACTCAAATCACCCCTGACAGATGGCCATCTAGCCTCTGCTTAAAAGCTTCCAAAGAAGGAGCCTCCACCACACTCCGGGGCAGAGAGTTCCACTGCTGAACGGCTCTCACGGTCAGGAAGTTCTTCCTCATGTTCAGATGGAATCTCCTCTCTTGTAGTTTGAAGCCATTGATCCATTGCGTCCTAGTCTCCAGGGAAGCAGAAAACAAGCTTGCTCCCTCCTCCTCCCTGTGGCTTCCTCTCACATATTTATACATGGCTCTCATCTATCATATCTCCCTCAGCCTTCTCTTCTTCAGGCTAAACATGCCCAGCTCCTTAAGCCGCTCCTCATAGGGCTTATTCTCCAGATCCTTGATCACTTTAGTCGCCCTCCTCTGGAGACATTCCAGCTTAGAGTCAATATCTCTCTTGAATTGTGGTGCCCAGAATTGGACACAATATTCCAGGTAGAGTGGTCCAACCAAAGCAGAATAGAGCATGGGGAGCATTACTTCCCTAGACCTAGACACTAGGCTCCTATTGATGCAGGGCAAATCCTTTGCCCTCCTTGATTGATTGGCAGCTGCGTGAGGCTGTTGCGGTGCCCTTCCCTCCGGTGGGACAGCCCACTTGCTGGTCCCCTGCAAAGGCATTGAATCTGGCATGAACCTGGCAGGGCAGGGCAGCAGTGCCACGGCCTCCCAGGTGCGTCACCTGAAATGCTTCGTGAGACCTTTCCCTGAAAGCGCCCCAAAGTGCCCCCCCCCCCGAGTCTTGCCTGTCTTCCCTGGTCCGGAGCGTGTCCTCAGGGAGAGATCTGGCCAAAGGTGCACAGAAATACCCCCCTGAGGGTGGGGGGTTCCTATCCCAGGACACCTCTGGTTGGTGCCCAGTTGGCACATTGCTGGGCGCTTGACCCTACGAGGCAGCGGTGGGCCTCCCTCTCCCTCTCCGCGGAGACATGGGCGCTCTGGCCCTTGAGCCTTTTCCTCCTCCCGCTGCTTCGACCAGAACTTGCGTCTCCACAAGGTCACGCAGGCTTTGTGTTCCAAGCGCCGTCAGCGGCCTTGCGTGCCTGGGAGGAGGGCGGGATGCGGCAGTGGGAGTCGGGCCCGGATTCCTGCCAGAGACCCTTGAGAGGCACGCGTGC